TTGTCAAACAAGGAAGACGATTTAAATATTTTACTCTATGACTTACTTCTATGGAGAAATATGTAGATTCAGATGGCCCTCCGCCTCATTATAGTCTTCAAATTATTCAGTGGCTCGGGAAGCACTATCCACGTCGTTGTTATTTCTGTTTGTTTCTCAATATTCAATATTTTATTCTATATTGCTTTGAAAAACTTAACCGTTTCGCATATAATGAATCCATAAGAAGCCATTTTTCTCAAAAACCAAGCTTTTCATTTAAAAAGGTACATTTTTGCTGTATAATACAAAGTGTAAAAAAAAATATATTTATTTTGAAAAATTTCCAAGAGCTTAGAAATTATATTAAAAATAGGGGTTATCAGAGCCCCTATGATTGATATATTTTGACAATAATTTGTAAAATTGATAGAGCTTTTAATTCGTACACTTCATATTAAATATAAAACAATAATGGCTTTCATAGTTTTAGATAAAATAAATAATAACCAAAAAAATGTTTTTTCAGGAGCTTATATCACTAAATGGAAGCCTTTGAAAGAAAAAGTGTATACTTCAAAATTATATTATTATTTTGAGATCTATCGATGGTGAAAGTCCTAATCATAAAAAGTGAATCACCCCGTAGAATGAATGACGATAGTCTAGTTTCTCACGAGATCATTAAGAGATAGTCAATGTTGATTTTAATTAAAATTCAACAATACGGTTTCAGTAATGTAGGAGATACATTTATCGTAATTTTGATATAAACGGCAACAACAAATGACATTACATTCCAAATGAAGCAAAAAGATGCTGTAACTTCTTTAACTGGAGGTACCATTAGCAGATTTTAATTTAAAATATCTGAGACACATTTTAGTTTTTTTTATATGAAATTTTTTTTTGTATTTTTCCTATAAAAAATCCATTTTTTTGTAATTGTATAGTACACATTCAACATTCAAATTTTAAATTTTATTAACCACTTTTTATTATTATTTATTCTATGGTATATTATCACTGTATTTTCAGTTCAAAAGCTATTCTCTTTGATCAATACTTCAAACAGAAACACTCGTTAAAAAGATTTAGTTAAATAGTCTGTCTAATGCTGAAATATACACTCTTTAGTATTAACTAATAGATAAATCAAAATGAAATTCTGCAACATCTTCGTTGTGTTCGTCGTCCTTGTGGCCCTTCAGCAGACTGCCTACGCCTATATTAAAAATGGTAACGGTTGACAACCTGACTTCAAAAGACGGCCCAAAACATAGACTTAGAAATTCTGTAGGTATTAGAACAAAACGGTGATTAAATGAGATGCGTCGGAAAAGTCTGGATCTGAATTAGATGGGTCTGAATGTGATGAGACCAAATGGGAAATAATAACAGATACTAAAGTTGCAATACAAATTGTAAATAATTTCTTTTAATTTTTAATTTTGAATGTAATATTTTCAAGAATGCAGATATGATCAGATACGCTACTGTTTGTAAAATATTTGTTTACTTAAGAAATATTATAAACATAGTGTTTCTACCACGCATCAATCTTCTCATATTAAGACAAATGTATATTACTGATAACACCCAGAGATTTATCAGACCGAGCAGATTTGATATGAATTTTTACTCAGAGTTGAATAGGTGACGATTTATCCATCATCTATTAAAATAAAACTATAAACTGACTGACATGACAATATTTCAGTTTCTCACTGGTCAAGGCCAATTTGGGTAGTTCTGCTTAATAATAAAAATCAATAAAACAGTTTTATCATAATGTGTACGATACTTTTATCAACGTTTTTAACTTTGAATTGAATACAAGTTACATTTTAACAACTAATTACCAATATCAAGGTCATGTTTTTGATAAAATGTGGAAATAACTAGGATTTAACTGCCACAGATAATGCGATTTTGAGAAAACTGTTTTGAAACAAATGGCGTAACAAGTATAGTCAACGATTACTACACTGTGACAATTATTGTCTGATTGTCTAATAACTATATTGTGCGTTTCAAATTTCAGCGACATTTTTTGGTAGCTCATCAGTTACATGTTAGAAGAAAGTTTTGCAAAATTTTGTTAAAAATTCAAATATTCCTTGTAATTTACTCTATCTCTCATAAATTGTAAAGCAATTGTTCACTTTATTCACTCCAGATCGTCCTTTGTATTTGATACACTTTTCAGTTTAAATGTAAAACATAAACCTTGAAGATAGTGTACCTAATCAAAATATACAGATGCAGCTCAAAAAGTTTGGCACAAACTTTAATGGCGCATTTTATTATTTAAATAAATTAATAAAAAAAGTATCTGAAACCGTATTATTAATAAGACGATGATGAAAAATTAAAAAAAATTGATTTCATGTCGTGACACTTTCAGCAATTATTGCTATTACGTTACGACCTTTTGAAATTTATCCCAAAACAGTGCCTTCTAGTACACAGAATACAATTTAAACTTATATTATATTATATTTTTGTGAAACCTTTAATGCTCTTTCATAATACAGAATTTCAAATACCCAAGAGGATAAAAAATGCGAAATAAAATTACTAAGTCCACCCGCAAAACTGCCCCGTTTAAAAAAAAACGTGACATGTGTATAAAGAAGAACTGTAGTTACATACCTACCATATTTAATTGGAATCGCTTCAGCGATTTTCTTGCAATTAAACGAAACACGTACTCCCTTAAATGTAAAAAAACAAAATCGTAGAAGTATAATTAATGATATTGTAGGAAACAACTACTCTGCTGACTAAAGCCCCGTTAAGCAGGTACTGCGGTTGTAATTCAGTTCTGGATTAATTAATTAATACTGCTTTTTTTGAGTATCTCTGAAAAAACTTTTTGAAAATTAGTGAAATAAACCTTTCTGCCAAAAAGATCAGCGAATGGTTACTTTTTATGAAAATAGTTTTGCCTAATCAAAAAATCTCACACTGAAAAAAAAATGTTATGACCGTTTTCCCAAGCGTGATCGCAAATTTTAGGTTTCTCAGATTCTCGATTTTTAATGTAATTTCTGTTTTAATTCAGTCAATATAATTAATGGACCCATTAATTATTAATTAATAGCTTGTCTCTGAAGTTACTTCCTACCATACCTAAATATATGTGCTAAAGCATATACAGGGTTATTCACGCAACTGGTTCATTAGAAGGATACGAAATTACCATTTTGAATGTTGTTGAAAATTTGAATACCCAGGTTACCGGCCATGAACTTTTCAATGAAAATATTTTTAAAACTGTTGCACTTCCACTTATACCGGAAGTTGCCACCAACTTTGTTAAGTTAAATTGAACACCCTGTATCTTATTGCATTTTTGGATTCTACGTTAAATTTTAGGGTCACTTTGTATAAACTTTTCTACCTTTAAAATTAGTCGTTTTCAAGATAATGCAATTTAAAAAAAATACCTGCAGCACTGTTGGCTTTAAAAAGTATATGCCTCAGAAACAGTTCACGCGGAAATCTTTATTTTTGGGTTTGGGGTTCCTTACGATGTTTTCAAAATTAGCCAGTTTTATACAGGGCCCTGAAAACGAAATGACAAACCCGAGGAAATCCAAACGTGTGTAAGTCATTTTTTAAATGAAACACCCTGTATATTTTCGTATTTCTGGATTCACTTGAAAAATCTACATCAGTACATACATGGGTTGCTATAGTTATTCTTGATGGTTTCTGATTTATCACCACTCTTCCGTTTCAAATGCAAAAAATCATGTTTCGTGTAAGAAACTGATGTATGAAAACAAACTTTCCCAAAACGCAAAAAGTTTGATTCAATCTTCTTAAATTTTGTTTTTTGTCATTGCTAGTAAATGAGGACAGGTATCTTTCATTAAATGTGCGGCATGTCCTGTTCAGAACCTTGTTACATTCGTTATGAATAAAGAATAAGTTTAAAATATCACTTTTCGAATAATTATTCACTTCATCCGTACTTAGGGACACACAGTAACGTCAGTAAGTCTTCTTTTGGTGTTTTGAGGTAATTATGAGTTTCTACACGAAACATGATTTTAAATTTTAAACAGAAAAGTCATAAATCAGCAACGTAGGTACTTAAATATCTTCTTATTTGATTTCCCAATTATCTAAAGAGCAGTGAATTTTACGAATAGTTTACAAGAATACAAATTGATTGTACATTTTAAAAACATTTAAAACTATTTAAAAAAACAGTGGCGAATGATTTTTTTTTCAAAAAAGATCCTCTACTTCCTCAATAATTACGCCACTGGAGTGTATTTTTGGAATAAGTTGTCCATGAAAAAATAGTCCCTACTAAAAAAATGCCATCCCTTAAATTTTATCACTCGATCTTTTATACCAGTTAAGTTAAAGGAAGAATAATATAAATATTTGAAACTTTTAACACCCTGTATCTCCGTAGAGAAACGTCCTATCAAAAATTCGGTAGAATATGCCATTAAAGTTTGGCAAAATTATCATTAAAACCCTGTATTCTGTATTATTATTGACTTTTTGTACACCTTTTAGCATTTTTGCTACAAATTGTAGCGAACTTAATTATCCAACAAAATCTTTTATTTCAATCACTAAAATTCCTTTGAACTATAAAATACCCATTAGGTGATCTTATAAGACCACAACATTTATATAATTCTGAGAATTTACTAAAAGTGATCTAGTAACTACATACCTTTACAATTTCGTTGGCAAAAAAGAAACGCGACTATCTAGTGTTTTCCATAAAAAAATGCATTCAAAAATTTTAAATATTGATTAGAGTAAAAAAATTCTCAATAAAGTAACTCCTTTTTCAAATTTGATAATATAAAAAACTATTTTGAAACAATTAACCTTAGCTGTTTTGAGAAAATTCAGATATCATTATCTGGGTTAATGGTCAGGAACTTAATATTTGTAAACAGTAGTTTACTTAACGACTATTTCATGGTCATCAATGCGTAGACGACACCCTTATCAGAAATAAACCTGGTAAAACCACTACTAATTTGTGAAAGTGACCATGGAAATTCCTTCTTCGATTTGGTCCTAATGTTATTATAAATACGTGAATAGTTTTCAGCTTCCATCAATTGTCGTGTATCCAGCACATCACTAAAAGTAAGTACTGGGACAATATTAACTAATTTGAATTACTCTATGTCTTTTAATGCTATTTTTTAAATATTTTGCACGGTAAAATTAATTTAAACAATCCTTTGATAATTTTCGAATTATTTTTTGATTGATTCATCTACTGCACAGAAAATAAAGTCTGGATATTAATTGAGACAGGGAAAATTCCTATCAATAACTCAGATAATATAATAGTTGACCAGAAACTAAAATACAATGTGTTCATTTTCAGAAACTGTCAAAGATGAAATTCGTCAACATTTTCTTCATCGTCGTCTTCGCCCTTGTGGCCCTTCAGCAGACGGTCTCGGCCAAATGCATCGCCAATGGTAATGGTTGCCAACCTAGTGGAAGTCAAGGAAACTGTTGTTCTGGATACTGCCACAAGCAACCTGGATGGGTCGCTGGTTACTGCAGGAGGAGATAAGAAGGTCTTTTTGGATGTTACGGAAAATTATGACGCTTCAATCTTATAAAAACATATGTTAATATTATGTCGAAAATACTGGGATAATAAAGAGCATAGAAAATTATTTTAGCTTTTCATAACCATCTCGATAACGTAACATTGCTGAAAAGTAAATTTGAAAATTAAAGTTAAGTACTGTGAAGTTCTCTTGAATGAAAGATGTTCAATAATACAAATGCGGGTTATCTGTTTAGTGGTTGTCATTATTCAAGTGGATACGTTTTATTTATTGCGATAATTAACATTAATTTTTGTGCTGAATCCTTTTACTTGTTTATAAACAATATTTATATCTAATTAATATTATAAACAAAGTGTTTCTCCTACGCACCATCCGTTCTCATATTAAGGCGATCATACGTTATTCATTTATTTATTTATTTTATTTATTTATTTACTCCTAAAATATCCAACGGGTGAAACCCATTTAGTACAAGAAAAAAATACATTAATGAAAAGAAGCACTGAAAATACATCATAAAAATTAATATAAAAGTTACAAAAGTATAAAAAAGACCAATACACAAGAACAATACAAAATCTTAAGATTAAAAGTAATATATATAAAAGTCAAAGTTAATAAAAACAACCAACAGAACCAGTAAAAAACAATGAAAATATATATATATATATATATATATATATATATGTTTAATAAAAATTATATTTAATATATATAATTATAATCTTGTTTTATATATCAAATCATTCGAAGTAATTGCTGTTGATTTGTGNGAAGTTACGTGAGAGCGATAAAGTAAGCCATAGAAATCCATGCAGTAGAGAAGGATGGCTATAATGAAGGCGTCTCTTAGTCACCGCCCGTTTTGCCATTCCACAAATAAGGTCCACTTCTTATTTGTGGAAGGGCGAAATGGGCGTTGACTATTAGACGCCTTCATTATAGCCATCCTTGTCTATCACATGGATTTCTATGGCTTACTTTATCGCTCTCACGTAACTTCTGATAGACCATCGGTACTTTCCTAAAAAATCTTCATTGGACCCTTTCTAATAAGAAGGTATCTGTAACATAAATTGGGCTCCATATAACTGAACCATATTCTAATTTAGATCTTACAAAAGTTGTTATGTGATAACAATGAGAGATTTATTTTTTTATTTTATTTCGTATGATTTTTTTCTTAAATATCTAATGTTGCTTGTTGAAAGGAATTATATTATGCAGATTTTAATTTAAATAGACAGTGGATATACAGGCTGCTACAAATTCTCATCTCACTACAAGGATCTCGAAAACGGTAAGAGATACGAACTAGCTTAAATGGGGGCAAAGTTGCGTAATCAGGGGACCAACATTATGCCTCTAAAAAATCACGGCTAACAAGATTAGTTTTCGGGATATTCGAAAAGAAAGCGAAATTTTGAAAATCCATTTTTGTTTCATTTCAGCCTTGTTTGAGGTGATATTGAAAAAAAGAACACTTTCTCATTGCTTAATCAATTTTTATATGTAACATTTCGTCTCTTCAGCACCATCATCAACTTCATTTCTTTACATACGACCCTGGAGATTTTATTGCATTTTTCGCAAACCTGCATGACTTCCAATAATGTACTGCCTCAGCCCGAATCAGATTCAGACGTTTTGTCTCGAAAAATTCATCTTCAGTGTATTCGTTCCAAATTTATCAAAATGTTTTATTTAGATTTCTTTGTTTATTGAATTATCGTACACTATAGTGTTGTTAGACCCTGTGAAATCCAACTAGTTATTTAAACTATTACCACCACGAAGTTATTGCGTCAAAATTAATTTATTATTACAATTTTAATTTTATTATAACAAATTAATACTTAAAAATGCATATGAACAACCAAAACGCCAGCTGAATATTATTCTTTAAAAAATTTCAGTAAATGTTCAAAAACATTTTCGTTTTGAAAAAGGTTGAAAATGAAGATCAGCGTAATATTATCGGAATTTATTATACCTTTAACCACAGCTGTGAAAGAGTATGTCAGATGTATTTGTACGGATATAATGGAAAAAAATATATATCGGAGTTTATTGGAGTTTTGAACACTCGAGAAGCCTAGAAATAACTATGGGCACGGGATTAAAACTAATAATGTTTTATTTTAATGCGTATTCGCGTGGAAGCGAATTTGTAACAGCCTGTATTTGGACATTCCTTTGTTCAACATAGCAGGAATTTCTTGTTACTGTTTTTATTCTACTGAGCATTTGCGCTACACCGAAAACAAATAATTTTGAATAAAATATATTTTATAAATTTAGTTTCGCATAATCAGGAATATTTCACATGTAAATAATGTTTCTCAACTACACAGTGAACACTACATACTACAAGACATGACATAGTTAACGTTTCGAAAAATTTCTACACAATGAAGAAAAATTCATTATCGTTAAATTCATTTTCGTTCTCAAAACCCAAACAGACTTCGGAAAAGTGGAAAAGAGGGAAAATATTTGTATATTTACCTATTTTCTGGTTACCCTGTTCATGCAAGATGAAAATTCTCCATGCCAACCACATTTTAGAGGCAAACAAAAATTTTAATTAGCAATGTATTTTTCTCGTAAAATGAAAAATAAAAATGTTTTTCAGTCTGTTTCTATCAAAGTAGACCGATTCATTGACAAATTGAAAATATAATATAAATATGAATTCTAAGCAACTTTCCTTAATAACATATTTCTGTATTGTTAAAAACAAAGGCAGTTTATTCTTGAACGATATTTATATTTACCGATTTTCTGATCACCCTCTATATGCTAGATGAAAGTTCTCCATGCCAATCACATTTTGAAGACAAACAAAAATTATTCATATTTAATCAAGAATGCCTTTTTCTTGTAAACCGAAAAATAAAAATATTTTCCCTCTTTTCCACTCTAACCTTGGACAGTATGTTCAGTATGTATATACGTTTTATACTGTTTCTATTTACCTCGTCGTCGAAATTTTTTAACATGCAACTATCAAAATTTAAGGACTGGTGTGAAACACATTCAAGGCCTTTAAATAATGGAATCGAAGATAATCGGGACTGGATGAGAAAAGGAGAATTTGAAGTAGGTATTCAGATTTCGGGAAATGAAAGTAATATGGTAAAAATAATATGAAAAGTTCGCGTTTATTTGCTAAACGGTGATAGATGTGTTCTAAATTATTTCTTAAGTTTCGATAATTGTTGGTTGAATATTCTCAGCGACGAGTTGGGTAATAACAGAATATTGTTGATAACTCATATCTCTATGAAGGACAGATCAATTAAACAAAAATTCTGTAACATTTGAATTTCAGTCAATTTAAGATTTGAGATCGCGATCAAAGTTCGAAGAGTTAACTCTCTAATGTGTTGCATTAATTATTATTTTACATTCAAGAAGAATTATTCTCTGCTTTATCAGTATGAAACTGTGTTGGTAATACTAAATTTACAAAACAAAATGAATCCCTTCATTGATCCTTTTACCACAAGGGGTTATTTATTAACAAGAAATTATTTTCAGTTCGCAGAATGCACTGTAAAATAAGAATATGTTTATTTTGCTAATTTTACTCAAACAATTTTCAGCAATGTCTCCGATTCTTTTTTATTTCATAATTAAAAAGTTATTGTGACACAGTTACCACCTAAATTTCACTCTAGATTTAAAAAAATGCAAATATCAATATTCGAGTTAATGATTTAAATCTTGATATTTGTAAACAAGTGCAGTTTATATAACGACTATTTCATAGTTACCAAAGCACAGGCGGCACCCTTACCAACAATAACTTTGGTAAAACCAGGACTAAGCAGAAAGCGACCAGCGAACGATGGAAATTCCGTGGTCGAGTACTACCTACTTCTTTTCTTCTTCTACAATTAGCATACAGGTAGACAGTTACCTACTATAAATACTTGAAAAATTTTTAGGTGCTATCAGTTGTCGTGTACTCGCCATATTATTAAAAGTGAGTATATACAGGGACAATGTTCGCAAATTTAAATTATTTTACGTGTTTTTTTTTAAATTAACATTTTTTTAGTATATTGAACGGCAAAGTTAATTTAAACAATCCTTCCATTTTTAAGATAGGTAATTTTTGCTTTATTTGTACCCCTTCACTGTTTCTCATGTAACAAAGAAAATACTGTCTTTGTGTATTAATTCAGACAGGAAACAAAAATTCTGTGTCTACCTTAATATGTGTAACAGTTGATTAGAAACTAAATTACATTTTTGTTTATTTTCAGAAACTGATAAAAATGAACTTCTTCAACATCTTCTTCATTGTCGTCTTGGCCCTTGCGGCTCTTCAGCAGACGGCCTCGGCCAAATGCATCGCTAATGGCAATGGTTGTCAACCTAGTGGAAGTCAAGGAAACTGTTGCTCAGGATACTGCCACAAGCAGCCTGGATGGGTTGCTGGTTACTGCAGAAGGAAGTAGTTTCGTCAAACATTTGGAATATTACGAAAAACTATGACGTTAATGAAATTATGTCGACAGTATTAAAATAATAAAGAGTTTAGATAAAAAATTTAGACTTTCATTGCTCCTGAAATGTAAAACATATTAAATTTAGCTTGGAAGACATGCTAACTCAGATCTTTAAGAAAATTCATGCTATCTCACACAAAATTAAGTTTGACTATAAATTTAAGTTGGCTGCATTGGCGTTGAACTGCACATTGAATGATTGAAACCGTACATTTATAATAAACTTATATTTTTCAAAAAGTAAGGAATATTTATGTTCAGGTACACTATTTATTTTTTTTTCCTTCAACATTTTTCAATTAATTTTGTTAACTTACGACAAAACTGCTAATTAAAAAATTAGAATAATATGCAGTGTGCTGCAACATGTACATTACTTGACGTTTTTTGAAATAACGAATTATAAAAAAACAGTGTATACCTTAAAATATAAAAATGTTTATTAATACTAAAAATTATTAGATTTTTTTCATACAAGTTGGCTTTGATATAAAAATTAATAGCGCACTATTATCTCATTTGTAGTCACTACTCTTGATACACTTTTTTTTTCTCACAAAATCTGAGATGCACAATTCATTCTGAAAATAATTATATAAGCCTAATGCGGACTCTAAGGAGACTGCAATAAAAAGGATTATATGTATAGTGGACCAGGCTAGGCCCCAAACTCCAAGTCCGAATCGCTCTTACTGCACCTCAATAAAAACAAATGGGTTTTTAAAGGTACGGTAGCCGCGTGCTTGCATAGACTTTGGAAATACATAAGATGCTGATATTCGACACTTTTATTACCGGTACTGTATGATCTGCTGGATCGATGCGACGAGCGCAGAACAGATGAGATGCACGTGCATGGTTCCGCGGTTCCCCATGCACACATGTTGGCAGATGGCATATTTTTTCTTAAAGAACTGAGCTAGCATGTTTTCCAAGCTTAATTTGAAATAGCATGTTTTCCCAGCTCAGTCTGAGGTAGCATGTTTTCCACACACAATTTTAGGTAGCATCTTTTCCAAGTACAATGTTAGGTGGCATGTTTTCCAAGCTAAATTTGAGATATCTAGCTGATATTAATTCTTGACCTTAAACCTTGTACCAGTGTTTGTAAACAAATTACTTGTCCAGTATTATAAACATAAAGTGTATCTACGCATCATTTCTCCGTACCATTAAGGCGGCCATACACGACGTGGTGATTTTTTTTAAATACATTCATATATTCTATTATTAGCTCTCACATGTTTTAAGGTTTTAGGCTAATTCAAATTTAAAAAGATAGATGAAATGACGTCATACAATGATAAAGTCTATCGCGTAAAAAACAGCTGCTACAAAGAGATCTGTATGCAAATGCAATACCAGGTGAATGCCTCACCTGGTATTAGCATTATCCCATAGAGTGAGGGTGAATATCTTTTGTATAGCTAGAGGTCTGGTGTCGAACAACATTGTTTGACTTCATTTACATTTTTTTTTTTAATTTGTTTGCATTAGTTTAATACCTAAAAAAATGAGTGATGATACTGCGAAGTTTATATGGAAAGAAACAGGTGACGGATTTTGTCATTCTATGTTTGACTGTTCTAAATCATACTGCAATGTTTTGTGCTACAAATCTGATGGAATGCTGTTCCGCACAGCAAACGTCGCTTCATGCAGTGAAACTAAAAAAGTATAAGACAATTATTGATCACGTGAAGTGACGCTAGCATATTTGTATCTTTAGTTAACTCTTATAACAATTCTGTAACCTAGGGGACATTTTATCATGCCTTTATTTTGTACTAAAAATAATATTTCCAGCATACTAGGTTATTACTTTAAAGTTATTTAAAATTTAGCTAAATATAATATGAGTATCTTCTCTATCGTCTGTTTAATATTTTAGGACCATGTAGGGAATTTTGCAGATTTTTTTATCAAGTTGAAATGTGCTGTAATTTATATAAATTTTTATAAATTTTAAATAAATTATCCTATATTTTGCAGTTCTTTCAGTAGAAGTTCAAGGTGATTATTTTGATGCAAAATAAATTCTTTTTCATACAAAGATTTCTATTATACTTGAACACAGGGTATACTTGTATACAGGGTGCCCTACTAAGGTTTGCTAGGTATGATATTAGAGAAAGTATATGCCTTAAAGCTTCGGGAGAAAATTTTCGATAAATAAATCGACCAAAAGAAATCGCTGGAAATAGTTTACATGTTCGTAGCTCGGCCGCTAGGGGACGCAATCTGCATACCAAAACATAGAGTTAAATTTTTCTCAGAAATGTTTCCTATTTAGGTATATTAAACAGTGCAAATATGGATAGCCGAACTCATTGCACATAACTTTTTTTATTGACATTTTATTCTATCTTTGTACAGAAAGGGTGGGGGAAGCCCCGAATGTCTGATCAGAAAAATTCATTTTTTTAAGGATTTGAAATTTCTAAAGAAAGTGTTGTTTATTTATTGCCGCTATTTATTCAAGTTTTCTTAAAAAAAAAAGTGAAATAGCAAGATAAAACTTTTTATAGGTTATTTTGAAGAGCATAAAAGGCTACATTTTGACGCCAAAAAGGGTTCAATATCTCTTTTTGTTATAAAGTTATTCGCAAGTTAGTGACAAAGACAAAAATTCATTTATAAAATAATTTACCTAAGCACGCAGGGAAGGTTAAATTGCTGTATTGAAAATAATGGTATGCATTTCGAGCGTTTATAAACATCTTTACTTTTGTTAAAATTTAATTGTTCTTTCGTTACATAATATCAATATCTGTTTGTTTTTGTTATTATTTTCAAGATTGTTGTTGACTCACTCATTTGAGTGGGTATAGGTAGAATCTTTTATAAACGCATTTTCTTTTGATAATTAAATGTCTTTTCGTTAGCGTCGTGTTCCTCAATCCATTATCATTATTAATTTTTTTGCACACTAATTTGCGAATAACTGATAACCAAAAAAGATATCGAACCCTTTTTGTCGTCAAACGTAGCTCTTTTTATGCTTTTCAAACTAACCTTGTAACTTGCCCAGCCAGCTAGCCCAAGGGGAGGAAAAAGGGGAGCGGGTTCTCAGGTCTTTGAATAATTTCTCGAATATTTGGATTTAATAGCATTTATTCATCATCTAAATTTACAATTCGGTCGCCTGTCAACTACTAACTCTACTAAGTACACTCTAAGAAAAATCTTGGGATTCTTCACCGTTGATGGCTACTCAATTTACCACCGTACAAAGCGGAGCACACTCACCCCGAAGTTCCCCGGTTTTCACCAACACTTTTTCTTCTTCTGGTTTTTTACTTCTTTTCCTTAACCAAAATCCAGGTGACACTCCGTCTGTCTCCACACACTGACATCTCGCTACCTCCTTCGATCAAAACTTAAAACTAGGAGTACAATAGGTTTCCTAACTAAACGGAGTAGGAGCAAGGTGCCCGTTACAACCTATAAAAAGTTTTAACTGCTATTTCACTTTTTTAAGAAAACATGAAACAACCTTAACTTGGATAAATAACACCAATAAATAAACTACACTTTCGATTGAAATTTCAAACTTATACCAAATTTATCAATGTTTTGTGCTGAATTCATTTATGAAAAGACAACCATAGTTATAGAGATGTACAATTTTTGAGAAAAATCCATAAACGGCATTTTTTTAAATAACGCCATCTTTAGGTTTCCATATTTAGGTAAATGACATTACGCATAGAAAAATTCAGCTTTACGTTTTGATATGTAGATTGCGCCCCCTAGCGGCCGAGCTACGAAATTGAAAACTATTTCAAGCGATTTCTCTTGGTTCAATAGTTTTCTCCCGGAGTTCTAAGGTCTATACTTTCCCTAATATCGTACCTCACCGACCTTAGTGGGACACCCAGTATAAACATTTACCTTCGTTTCACAAAACATGAATAAAGAAATATTCAATGTGTCTCAGGTCATACCAGTGGCACAGATATGAGATACTGTGCAAAAACTTCAAGAAAAATTTTTATTAACGTAAGTAAAATTTGTATCTCGAGAATGACAAAAAATATTTCCAAAATTTTTCCAATGGCGTATTGTAATTTTACAAGAGAATTTAATCTTATTTCTTAACCTGTGATTTAATACTTTTTAAGTGTTTTGAATTCAGTTTAGATTAATGCAATTTTATTTTCCTTTGAAAACTGATATTTTAAAAAATATTATCGCTTTTTATGTATTTGAGCTAATGATTTAAAATTTAATATTTGTAAACAACTACAGTTTGTTTTCTGACGACTTGATTCATTGTTGTCGAAGCACAAACGACACCCTTATCAAGAACCGAACTTGTAAAACCATGACAAATATTCGGACGGTGACTAGTAAACAATTGACGGAAATTTCGGGGCTAAACGGTGATAGATGTGTTCTAAATTATTTTTTAAGTTTCAATAATTGTTGGTTGAATATTTTCAGCGACGAGTTGGGTAATAACAGAATATTGTTGATAACTCATATCTCTATGAAGGACAGATCAATTAAACAAAAATTCTGTAACATTTGAATTTCAGTCAATTTAAGATTTGAAATCGCGATCAAAGTTCGAAGAGTTAACTCTCTAATGTGTTGCATTAATTATTATTTTACATTAAAGAAGAATTATCTGCTTTGTCAGTATGAAGCTGTGTTGGTAATACTAAATTTACAAAACAAAATTAATCCCTTCATTGATCCTTTTACCACAAGGGGTTATTTATTAACAAGAAATTATTTTCAGTTCGCAGAATGCACTGTAAAATAAGAATATGTTTATTTTGCTAATTTTACTCAAACAATTTTCAGCAATGTCTCCGATTCTTTTTTATTTCATAATTAAAAAGTTATTGTGACACAGTTACCACCTAAATTTCACTCTAGATTTAAAAAAATGCAAATATCAATATTCGAGTTAATGATTTAAATCTTGATATTTGTAAACAAGTGCAGTTTATATAACGACTATTTCATAGTTACCAAAGCACAGGCGGCACCCTTACCAACAATAACTTTGGTAAAACCAGGACTAAGCAG